GGTTCTAGGACTTGTTCGTTATGCTTCAGAAGATTGGAGACTGTTGAGAATTAGGCTTGGGGTTGATTAATGATTGTGCATTGAGTCCCCTATACAGAATTTTATTGTTGTTAACAACCATTTGATCAATAAATATGAGAGATGCCCTCTCAAAAAAAAAATAATAAGGTTCTAGGATAAGAAAGCACCTTTTGGGTAAAGAAGCTCAACAGGAGAGCACTTGAAGAATGGGAGAGCTGGCCCCCGTGCACCATAGACCAAAGGGCATAGAAGGTGCCCCTCCTTGTCACTAGGCATGTGTGTGCAGAGCACACCGTGGGACAGGTGCACAGGCAGGACACGCAGCTCAGCCTCCTTCCTGACAGGAGTGATCGGGCGGAGAACACTGCTGACTATTCGCCAGAAACTTTGATGTTGAATACCACTTGTTACTGAGAATTTATTTAGTGTGTTTTAGGTGAAAGTTGTCTGGAAAATGTCAGACCTCTTCAGGAGCCATGATAGTGAATTCATTAACTGAACACTGATGAGTACTTTTGTTTTGACAGGTAAAATTTCCATCTTTGATAAACTTTTTTGCACATATTAGAAAAATATATTTGGCACATATTGGCAGAATGTTTCAAGGTACATTAGATGTACTTGGTAAAACTATGTCTTCTTACTAATATTTGGAAAGACAAAAATCTATAAAAACAGTGGCTTAGGATGGAAGATATATATATATAGCTTAATTGTCTACAAGGGTTATTCTGAGAAACTTTATTATATGTTTTTAATGCCTGAATTATTGTAACACTGGTTTCAAAATTGTACTTAAAACAGTACCTGAGGAGACAAAAAATACATTTGATTAAAGCCATTTTACCAACTAACTTGTGACCTAAAGCTTTCAACCATAATTATCAAGTGAGTTGCAGTTGTTGCTTAACATTTTAAAAACTCTAGTTTTGATAGCCCGTTTTTCAAGCATACTTAATTTTGATAGCTTTTATGAGTCACGTCTCATATGCGTAATTAGTACAAACTGGACCTTAGCCTGGGAAAGGAACCCCTTTTTCATATCTAACTTTTGGCAGATCATGGGCTAGCTTAATTATGGACAATTTTTATGCTTGCTTTTTTCATTACTTATCAAAATACCACTTACATGGAAGTGGTCCTTTGCCAAGAGGTTAACATTTTATTTAAAAAGAGGATAATTAAAATTTAAAAATTGACAGCAGCAAGTCTTGGCAAGGATATAGAGAGACTAGAGCTCTCATAGTTGATGGTGGAAGTATAAAATGACCCTCCTTGGAAAACAGTTTGGCAGTTTCTGTAGGTTAAACAAACACTTACCATACAATCACCCGTTTCATTTCTTGAAGCTGATTACCCAACAGGAAATAGAACATTTGTCCATATAAATGCTGGTACAAGAAGTTCAGGATGGCTTTATTCCTTATAGCCAAAAAGTGGGAAAACTCAAGTGTCCATCATGTTTATCCAGATGAATGGATAAACAGAATGTGACATATCCACACAAGGGATTGGTTACTACTCACCAGTGAAAGAATGAATTACTGATACACAGAACGACAGGGGTGAATCTCAGAAACACTGGGGCAAGTGAAAGAAGGAAGTATACACTGTATGACCCCCTCTATGTGAAATTCTATAGCAAACAGCTAGGCTGTCATGGCACAACTAGCCCCACACAGTAGTAGTTGGAGGGAGAGGAGCAGAATTGACTGGTGTTGTCAAAACTCATTGAATGGCATACTTCAAATGGGTGCATTTTATAATCTGTAAACTATGCCTCAGGGAAGTTGTTTTTCCCTCCTTCACCAGTTTCACCCATCCCCTATGGCAACCACCAGTCTATTCTCTGTGTTTATGATTTTAAAAGCAAACATAGATTTCACTGTGTATTTCTAAACTAGCCGGTTGTCATTTCACTTTGCTAACTTACTACTAGTGTGGATGTTTTTGAAGATTTGTATCTGAAATGGACTAGAATATATGCTTACCAATTTGTTTAAAGTTGCTAATCTTAAATTTAGGACCATAAAAATTAGAAATTCATGTTTTATTTTTATTTGTTGTGAAATAGTATTTTTATTTGAAATATCTGTAAAGTCAGGCAGTAATGTACAGAGGGTTTAGCTTCGTATTTGGAGTGACTGTTTCAGGGTGGGAGGTTTTAAGAGGCATCTTTTTTGTTTACAGACTCACAGTTCCCATATGATTGGACCCAGAGTAGCCAAGTGTGGTGTTGTGAATCATCCTGTTTTCTGAGCTTCCCACAAGTGTTCTAGGATGGGCACCAGGCTGACTGGTGCATTCTTACAACACACTGTTCCCTGTCCTTGCTACCACACTGAAAATGCTGTTTTTATTTCACAGTGAAAATACTAAGAAAAGCCAAGCCCCAGCCTCTGTTCCTCATAGTTGAATTTGATAGGTAACTTAATTGCTTCCCTTGTGAAATCCTTACCTCATTCATAGAGTAGAGGCTCATGAAAATGGAGAAACCATGTTTTGCCTTTATATTGCTGCGGTGTCCGGGATTATATGTGACATATCAAGGGTAAGTGAATTATCATGGTGTTTTGGTATTGAACATGTATAGTACTCACAGACTCCCAGGCCTCTGGACCCCTGCACAATCCCCCTGTCGTGTGAATAGAGAAGGCCACGCTCCCGGAAGGTGGTCCTCCTCCAGCACTTCCTGAGCACATAGTGTGGTTCCTTCTATTACAAAGCCCCATTTGCCACTGCTGCTCACAGGAATTAGGGGACATGGCCAGAGGGAGGTGATAGGGGCCAGAGGAAGTGTGGGTTAGTGAGGTATTGGGAAAGGTCTGAAGACGCAGTTAAAATGGTGAGCAGACTATAGACTCTTTGTACGAAGAGCAAAAAGAAATCTCGGCTTGTGAGTTTGAAAAGATGTTGTCCACACTGCAGTGTGATTGCTGTATGGTGAAGGCTGAGGAAGTCGAGTCACTTATAAATCCATCCAGCAAGCGCTGATCATTGATCAGAAGCTGTGGCCAGGCCCTGGACCAGGTGCTGTGGGTGCCTGATGAACGTAGGACCTGCAGTTGCCAAGGCCCTAAGTCTCTGAATTCTCTCCTTCACTAGAGAGGGTCACTGGTACAAGTTTTCTGTCAGCTCAGTATTTTGTATATAAAAGTGTTGTAACTTAAAGGAATAGTCTCTTCATTTATCATTTCTGCAAGTAGATTTGTGGAAGTTTGGAGAAAGAAGGTGGTGATGTGACCAAATAAGTGATCATGACAGCTGGGGGCAAGAGGCTTCTGTTTGTCTCTGCTCTTGTTGGCAGTGGTAGGTGTCAGTTAGACCTGGAGTTGGGTGGGCCATGTTTGTGGTGGAAGATGGGTGACATCCCTGCTAGGCTGGAGGGTGAAACAGCATTCACTGGGAGCATAAGTCCTTTCCCTGGAAACCAGAGTTGAGGTAGAACATCAGCGTGGGTGGCCCTGAGCTCTGGGCCCCCTGGGCAGCAATCCCTGCTGGAAGGATATCAGGGCAGGCTGAAGGCTGGTGGGCTGTTCCCTTTTCTCTGAGCCCATTTTCTAGAAGCCTGCCAGGGATGCTACCAAGAGAACTTTTCCACACATTTAACTTTCTGTGGAGGTAGCTTGTCCTTTCCAGGACCTGGAGCTGATCATCAGATAACTGGACCATAATGAGGGGCCTCAGTGTGCCCAAGGGAACATGATTTGGTTTCCCCTTATTAGATGTAATAAAAAGAAATAAGGGAGGAATTAGAGCATAGGTTTATTTGAATAAATTGAGTTCATATAGAGAATTTAAAATTGTAAGTGGGGTTCAGTTTACATGGAGAGAGTGCATAGTGACAGGCCCGTCATAAAAGGATCAGATTTGTATCTAAGGTTTTTGTTTTCTTAAAAACTCTGAAAGACATTTCTTTTGTGAATTTTTCACATTGAATGATTAAGGAAATACATACTAAGTGTAAAATGTTAACTTATTTGTTAATTTACAAGTTTATGGTAGGTTGTGGTTTTATAACCCATTTACAGTATGAGTAAATTACATGGATGTGTTCACTTTGAAATAACTCATTGAGCTGTGTGCTATGATTTATGTTTTTCTGCATGTAAGAACCACTGCAGTAAAATTTTATTAAATTACAATATACATACATATAAGCTATAATAAGACGTGTGTGAAAAGTGGTAAAAATTCTGAAGGTTTCAAAAATATTTTTTGTTGTGGTTGGAAAATCTCAGTAGGCAGAAATTAGCAACCCTTTATCAGTGTTAAAACAGACATTTCAGGTATTTTGATGGTTCTGCCAGGCATTTTTTGGTAGAATAAGCATCTCTTTTCAAATAGGAGTTTCTGTAACTTGGTGGTTTACAATATCTAGTTTTGAAAAGGGTCTTGCTTCATATTGCTACCTCAGAATCTTAGATAAACAGAAAGGGAATTCCAGTTAAGGCTGTTGAAATAAATCCTGATTCCATTTTTCAAGAGTCAAGAATGTGCTGGAACACTTAACATTTGGGGAAAACTAAAGTTGGAGAAAAAGGGGTTGGAAGCTCTCTGAAGAACCACACAGGGTGTTTGGGCAGCAGGGGGTGAAGAGTTCTCTGAGAAGTCTATACAGAGACAGAGTCTATTTGTTAGGGTGTGTATCCTTAAACATTTGACCACTCCATTTCCTCAAATACACGTGGTAAATATCCAGTCCAAGAAGAGAAATGTCACTTTCAATACACATTTGCAAAGGTTTGCTTCCAATTGGGCCCTTTATTAAATACAGTACCTGGTATATTTGAAAAACTGTTACTTAAGTTAATGAAAGTCAACAATTAGGAAAAGTTCTTATGAGAAAATGAACTAATTTGTGTCCGCCTAACTTCTAGGAAGCCTATTTAAGTCTTGATGTGTGTGAATTCTGACACTGGGGGAAACAACTATACAGATAAACATACACTGTAGCCTGAGTGTGTTATTCTCTGTAGGTTGGGAATCCACGTGTTGAACTTACCCTCTCGGAGCTCCAAGATATGGCAGCTAGGCAACAGCAGCAAATTGAAAACCAGCAGCAAATGCTGGTTGCCAAGGTAAGTTATAGAAGCAGAGGTGGGGAAATGCTCGAAGTGTCCTTCAACTGTCACTCTACAGTGGCATTAATGTGCTCGTGGGTAGGGCTTTTAAGTAGGACTGTGCCATGGCAGTGTTAAGCACAGCGTCTCTGTCTTTGTTCTCTTCTATAGTAGTAAGCACATTCTGTAGCTTCCTGGAGTTGGGAAGGCATCAGTGCAAGTGTGTCTGGTCCTTGATAGGCACACGAATACCCAGTACAGGGAGTGTCGACCTTACTCCATTGTAGATAAAATTGGGAAAGAAGGAATGTTCTCCATTGTCATCTGCTTTTCCTCTGGGTGTGTGCCTGGCCGGTGTAGTGTTCTGGAGGAGGCCACCGCTCCACGATGAGCCCAATGGGCATGGGCCCTGAGGGCAATGGCCGCTGGCTGTCAGGCCTGCCAGGACGCCGCTCTACAAGGCGCTCATTTGATTTATTGCGGTGCGGGGCAGTTACTGCTCATTCTATGCCCTGAGCTCTGCATCTACTGTTAAGACTGTAACAGAAGGATTTGAAATTTTTCTAAATAATGGTTTAGTTGTGGACTGAAAATTCAGACTTCCTACCTTCAAGCCCGCTAGAAATGATCACATGGTAAGGATCTCAGGTGTTCGGGAACAAAGAGAACGCGGAAATGTGACTGCCGATGTCCTTACTGCTTTCTCTGTGGTTCTTGATAACCAAGCCTTTGATCCAGCCTTTTCATTCATCGAATGACCATGTAATTCACTGTACTATCCATTTTTACATAAATAATGGTTGAAGTTGGACTTGTTTTTAAAAGTTGTCTTACAGAGTCTATCAGATTTATAAGAATTAAAGTTTTTTAAAAATTAAGGGTTAAAGGACTGGGGAGGATGGGTGGGAAGGGAGGGATAAGGGGGGGAAAGAAAGGGGGCATTATGAATAGCATGTGTAATAGGGGGGCACGGGGAGGGCTGTGCAGCACAGAGAAGACAAGTAGTGGTTCTGCAGCATCTTACTACGCTGATGGGCAGTGACTGTAATGGGGAATGAGGGGGGAACTTGGTGATGGGGGGAGTCTAGTAAACATAATGTTCCTCATGTAATTGTAGAGTAATGATACCAAAATAATAATTAATTGATTGATTGATTAAGTGTTAAGTAATTGGAAAGTATTTCATCCCACTAACGAGATTTCTGAGATGATATGTACATAATATTATGCAATTATAAAATTTTATGCTTTTTATTTCATTTTCTAACTATTGATCCAAGTATATTGCTATTAAAAAAATTCTTAGATATTTTCAGCAGTGTAAATCACAAGTTAATCTAATTTTTATATACTTAAACACATATTTCCTTAACTTACAGTGTAGTGTGTAATGCCTGCATAATCACACTTAAACCTCTCTTAGGTATATTTTATGCATACATGTGGGACCATGCATATTTAATATTAACTGTTATCCTTAAGGTATGTTTTCATATTAACAGGGAAAAGATCTGTTGAAGAGCAGTGCAAATTTTCTTTTTTGGTATCATTAATATACAATCACATGAGCAATATTGTGGTTACTAGATTCCCACCATTATCAAGTCCCCACCACATACCCCTTTACAAGCAGTCTCTCCAAAATGCACGAGCAGAGCAAATATTTTTACTTTAGGATTGTCCTGTTCTTATTTGACTATAAAATGTTTCATTAGTTTTGAAGAAACGAATCCTAAAGAAAACAAACATTTCCTTGGCTGTTTGATGTCACTTAGCAAACTAGAGGTTTATCTCCATCCTGATGGCCTTGTCTGTTTTCAGTATAAAGTCCTTTGCTAGCTGTTGTCCATTTCCTCCAGGAGGGAAATAAGGGACTCTTGGGTGCTGCTTTCTAGCCGCAGGAAACCTGACAGCAGGTAGTGACAGCAGGAATCCAAGGCTGGCTGGGGCCTCACAGGCAGGCTGGAGATGCGACGGTGTTAGTGCATATGAAGTGCAGGTTTGCTCTTCTCCTGCTGCAAGGTTTTTTGTGGGAATGTTTATAGTAACTGAATGGTGTAGATCAATGTGCAAGGTAAAATACACTTTTAAAAAAAAATGCGAACTCTTACCATCTCACGCACCTGTGTATACCCAGTGACTTCAGTCTTGTGTGTGGTCTGATGTGTGCAAGATTCCTCTAGCATTTCTTGGATATTCCTTAAGATAGCTGACACTGTGGTATTCACTCAAAATAGTATAGTGTATAAAAGTAATTGTACATTACACTTTTCAAAGTTGGCTATTTCCTCTTTTGTTAGGAACAACGTTTACACTTTCTAAAGCAACAGGAGCGCCGTCAGCAGCAGTCTATTTCTGAAAATGAAAAGCTTCAAAAGTTGAAAGAACGAGTTGAAGCCCAGGAAAACAAGCTGAAGAAAATCCGTGCTATGAGAGGACAAGTAGACTACAGCAAAATTATGAACGGCAATCTGTGTATGTGCCCGCAGCCGCTCTCAGCATCTCAGTCAGCAGATGTAGATAGAGGGACACAGGCCAGCTTCCGGGCACATGCAGTCACACACTAATATCAGGTTTCTCGCTATAGGAAATGCACTGAAGCTTTGCTCTGAACCTGCATCTAAAAGGAGGGGTCGGTTAGGTTGTGATCTTGAAAGATCTCTTGCAACCCTAGCAATGCAATGTTCAGAGATCCTCTTGTCCTGTTTGTGGCAGCAGCCCTTTGGATGGGGGCTGGGGTGCTCTGAGACAGCTCATGATGAGGGTCTGTTTTAATTGGACAGCTTACAAATGCTCACTTTTTCTTTTGTGTATGTGTAGTCTTTGTTATTTTATTAATTATTTCAGTTAGGTCCTACTTTATGTCACAATAATAATCAAGACAGACTTGGATGGTCCTGTCCTTATGGAGCCTTTGGTCTGTTGACACACTGAGATCCCTGTGACTTGGCCGAACTAGCTTTAGCCCGATTACCCCGATGCAAGGGTGCTCAGTAATCTGTGCGAATGGAGTTGCTTGCTATGAAGGCAGTCACATCATGCAAAGGCTGGTTGAAATGTGTTCTGGATTATGCATATCACAGTTTTCTCTCCAAGGTCTGGTACTAGATGATACTAGAGTTGAGGTAAATGTATAGAAATGTAGAAATCACAAAATAAGAATAACAAAATGCCATGTAAAAAAGAATATCAACTAAGTGATTTTTTTTTTTTTGGTGGAAACTCATAGCTGCTGAAATAGAAAGGTTCAGTGCCATGTTCCAGGAAAAGAAGCAGGAAGTACAGACTGCAATTTTAAGAGTTGATCAGCTCAGTCAGCAATTAGAAGATTTAAAGAAAGGAAAACTGAACGGGTTCCAGTCTTACAATGGCAAGCTGACAGGACCGGCAGCAGTGGAGCTAAAAAGACTGTACCAAGAGCTACAGGTAACCCACAGGGTAGGGGAATGGTTGTACTAAAATATCCTTATCTCTCAGGCTTTCTTCCAGCATAGGCCAGAATCCTCAGGAAACTAATTAATGGGTTCTAATGTAGTAGTAGGCACAAAATGTATTCAGTACAAAAGAATTTTTAAGACAGCTTTGAGATATATAATATACAGCATACAGTTCACCCATTTAAAGTGTGCAAGTAAGTGGTTTCTGGTATTGTCACAAGTTCGGCAGCCACCACTGCAGCCAATGTTAGAACATCTTCATCATCCCCAAACGAAACACTGTGCCTCTTAGCCATCACCCCACAACCCCCTCTCCCCCCAGCCCTAAGCAAGGATGAATCTACTTTCTGTTTCTGTAGATTTGGCTATTCTGGACATTTCAGATGAACAAGTCAAGCAATCTATAGTTCTTTGTGGCTGGCTTCTTTCAGTTAGCATGTTTTCAGTACAGAATTTAATTGGCAAGATAATGAGCTAGTAAAGACTTAGGCTTTTGATGATACTTAAGGTCTCTGTGTAAACTGTTTTGATAAGGTAGATGCCTGTTGTTAAATCCTTGTCTTAGCTTGGGGCACTTTAATAAAATACCATAGACGGAAGATGTAAACTACAGATATTTATGTCTCAGTTCTAGAAGCTGGAAGTCCTCGATAAAAGGTGCTGGCAGATCCTGTTCGTGGTGAACATCTCCTTCCCGGCTGGCAGGCAGTGTCTTCATGCTGTGCCCGCATAGCTCTGGTCTCTGTCCCTTACGAGGGCAGTAACCCCGTCATGGGGACACCACCCTCATGGACCTCCTCTAAGCCTGATCACCTCCCAAAGGCCCCATCCCCAAATATCACCACACAAAGGTTAGGGCTTCAACATAGGAATTTGGGAGGACACGTTCAGTCTGTAACAGTTCTCAAGATTTCCATTTCTCAGGTGATTTTTCAAGCCAGAATTAAAATTAAAGTTTTGCAATTCTGTTAGTACTTACTACAAAAATTATGTCATTTTATGAAATGAGAATATTTACAGAGAATAAAATCATTCTTTTTGCTGTTAAGTTCTCTAACAAATACATGAAGTATTATAAGAATCTGTGACTTCTTTTACATTTTAAGCAATTGTTAAAAGTGCACGGTTTTAAATGTTTTTTTCTTTTTGATAATGTGTGATGAACGTAGTGTATTTATTTATTTTCAACTTTTTGACTGCATCAAGGCTAAAATACGTTGCCTCCTGCCTAGCGCACCCGTGCAAGCATGCATATGCCAGCACACCTGAGAGGGGCTGGCCTCTGCACAGAGCTCTAGAAAGCAGAGCTTTCTAGTCTCCATTTTCACTTTTTTTAAATGCTGGTTGCAACTCACTAAAGTGATAGAAGAATATTCTGTTTGGTGATTTTAGGCCATCCTTTGTGAATTCCTGTTGCCTCCAAAATAGGGTCCCTCCCTCGGTGGGCCATGTGGGACAGAGCAGATGCCTCTACTTATATCCCTAGAGAGTGTGTTTGGGGCAGTCATCACTAAAGTGCCATTCACAGGGACTGTAGTTACGGTCTTCTATAGCCATTGGTACCAGTCATTCTGTGCACCCTGAAGAAGACACCTTTGCAGATATTTGCATATTTGCTCTTTTTTGTTCCATAAGAAATGGTCTGAATACATCTGTGTTGTACCTGTCAGATACTTAGCCCACAGGTGACAGTGCATGTATGTAAATACAAGCATGTAGTGTTACTTTATCTTCTTGTTTTAATCTCCCAGGTGATGAGAATTTGGCCATTTAATTCATGCAAATCATTAGCACTGTATTTTCTGTTGTGCAGATTCGTAACCAGCTTAACCAGGAACAGAATTCAAAACTCCAGCAGCAGAAGGAACTCTTAAATAAGCGCAACATGGAGGTGGCCATGATGGACAAGCGAATCAGTGAACTGCGTGAACGTCTTTATGGGAAAAAAATTCAGGCATGTGAAAGAGAAAATATTTCTGTGAGATAAAGTACTAAAAATGGTTCAGCCCCAAATTGCATGTCTTTGCTATAATGGCATTTTGCTCCCCTGATCCACCACAGCTGATAGAATATAAATTGTCCTTAAGCCATAAAAAACACAACAGTAGAAGAAAGTTTCTCACGGACACACTGGTTTCCTGGTGTATGGAGTCCAGGCCATCCCTGTCCGCAGCCCCTGTGCTGTGGCCTTGCCCTCCGTGCCCCTGGGCAGCACTCCCGCCTCGCCACGAGTATTTGGCTCTGGAATTGCAGCAATGGGCTTGATCTGCCATTTTTTGCAGACCAAACCCCTTGACCTTGAGTGGACTTGTGCCCTCCCTGCCCTATAACCTAGAAATAACCCCTGTGAAAGGGCTTTGTAAACTCTCAGGGGAAGTGCTATGTAAGGGGTTTATGCTTTTTAAAAATATTTTGATATTTTGAGTTTGAAAGGTAATAAATACTCATCGAAAGAAGTTAAAACAGTATAGAAATATTTAAAGCAAATATGAAAGTCCCTTCTGCCCTTTTCATCTTCTCCAGGGCTGCTAGTTGTTAATGGTTCCAATCTTTTTCTTAGTACAGGGAGAAAGATATTCATTTTAAATTGAAAATGTAACTGTAGGAATTATACCATTCGTACTGCTCTGCACCTAGTTTTGTTTTGTTTTTTTTTATAACTGCAACATGGGCATCTTTCCAGGCCGTTGCCTCACTCCTTCTGTGACTTCTGTATGGTACTCCACATCCCAGGGTGGGGTCACTTTACCAGCCCTGTTGTCAGGCAGGGTGTCCCAAGTCTCCCTGTTACCAGGGCATTCGTGAGCATGTGGCAGCCAGCCTTTCTCCCATAAATGGTGCTCGGCCTGAGGGAAGCAGTGCCTGGGTGCAGAGCTGATCAGCTGTCTGCCCTCTGGAGTGGAGGGTGCAGCAGGCAGCCAGCACGCTGGGACAGCGCTCCCAAAGTTCCCTTCTCCCACTTAGTAATTGGTCAACTTCTGCTGCTCTGAAGGCAGCTTTTCAGGATGTAAGGCATGGGCTTAGCTTTGCCCTGGTGGGTTGGCTTAGGAGGGAGGAGGGAACCGCCACTCCTTTGGTGTCATGATCTGTGGTCTCAGGTGAAAATCTCTTATTTACAGACCTACACTGTTTTTTTGGTTGTTTAACCAGTCTCTAAAGGTCAGTGATTAAACTGTATAAATGTGGTCTCAAATAATGGTTTTCTTTTTCTCTGGGTTAATGGCACAGGCCGTGGGGAGGGCGCATGAACCATCTCCATGCTCGCTCATAGCACTCTTTATTTGTGGTGTACCAGTCAGGGCCCTCCAGAGAAACAGAGTCAGCGAGGTGTATGTAGAGAGACTGACTGACTGATTGATTGATTGATTGATTCCAAGGAATTAGTTCACTCGATGTGGAGGCTGGCACATCTGAAGTCAGCAGGGCAGGCCAGCAGCCTGAAGACCTGGGGGGTTACTGGCATTGCAGCTTGAGTCTGTGGGCAGAGCCCCTGGCCCTTGGAGGCCCCCTCCTCAAGGCCTTCAGCTGTTGGGCATGGCCCACCCACATTATGGAGGCCCATCTGCTTTACTGAAAGTCTGTTGATTAAAATGCTAATCTTACATAGTAAACACCTTCACAGCCACATCTAGATGTGTTTGAGCAAACATCTGGGTACCATAGCCTGGCTGCGTTGACACATAACATTAACTATCACAAGTGGCTAGCTAAATCTTACTTCCTGAATTCCAACTGATGGTTCTAAGGGATCTCCCTGAAGAAATGGGTGCTTCTGCAAAGATGTCTCCACACAAAGGCCTTGAGCACCTCTGAGCAATTGTCAGAGTCATGAACCCTCTCCCTAAAATGACACATTCTCATATAGGCAGAATTTTGCAAACAGTTGTAGGGGTTATGGATCCCTCACGTACAGCCCATCTGGGGGTCCTAAAGAGTCAGCAGTTCCCTAGTTAGAGCCCTGTGATGGGACTCATTTGTTTTTTGGGCAGCATCATGTGACCAGTGTGGCTGGCTGTGGCTTGGTGTCCTTGCTGAGAAATGCAGAGTTGCCTTCAGGGAACTGGTTGGAGCTGCAGGCCCTGTCACTGCCCGGCATGGCTCCTTCAGTCCTTACAAGAACCCTTTATCATCCTGACTTTATGGACGTGGGCACAGAGGTTCAGAAAGGTTGAGCTGCTTGCTCAAGGCAGTGTAGCAAGTATGTGGCAGAGCAGGATTTGAAGGCAGGCTCAGAGCCTAGGCTTTGACCACCGAGGGGAGGGAGAGAGAGCACCCCAGGTAAGGGGTGATGTGGCAGAGTCCTGGGGAGCTGTTCTGTTACACCTTCAGCTCCTGGTTTTCTCGACTCACAAATGGGTAGGTGCTGTCAAAGGGAGACTGGCTGGTGGGGGGCCCCTTCCATGAGGGTGTCCCTTTTGGGTACTGGCCTTTCAGGGAGATGAGCTGCCTGAGTAAGATTACTGAGGTCTTGCCATGTAAAAAAGAATATCAACTAAGTGATTTTTTTTTTTTGGTGGAAACTCATAGCTGCTGAAATAGAAAGGTTCAGTGCCATGTTCCAGGAAAAGAAGCAGGAAGTACAGACTGCAATTTTAAGAGTTGATCAGCTCAGTCAGCAGTTAGAAGATTTAAAGAAAGGAAAACTGAACGGGTTCCAGTCTTACAATGGCAAGCTGACAGGACCGGCAGCAGTGGAGCTAAAAAGACTGTACCAAGAGCTACAGGTAACCCACAGGGTAGGGGAATGGTTGTACTAAAATATCCTTATCTCTCAGGCTTTCTTCCAGCATAGGCCAGAATCCTCAGGAAACTAATTAATGGGTTCTAATGTAGTAGTAGGCACAAAATGTATTCAGTACAAAAGAATTTTTAAGACAGCTTTGAGATATATAATATACAGCATACAGTTCACCCATTTAAAGTGTGCAAGTAAGTGGTTTCTGGTATTGTCACAAGTTCGGCAGCCACCACTGCAGCCAATGTTAGAACATCTTCATCATCCCCAAACGAAACACTGTGCCTCTTAGCCATCACCCCACAACCCCCTCTCCCCCCAGCCCTAAGCAAGGATGAATCTACTTTCTGTTTCTGTAGATTTGGCTATTCTGGACATTTCAGATGAACAAGTCAAGCAATCTATAGTTCTTTGTGGCTGGCTTCTTTCAGTTAGCATGTTTTCAGTACAGAATTTAATTGGCAAGATAATGAGCTAGTAAAGACTTAGGCTTTTGATGATACTTAAGGTCTCTGTGTAAACTGTTTTGATAAGGTAGATGCCTGTTGTTAAATCCTTGTCTTAGCTTGGGGCACTTTAATAAAATACCATAGACGGAAGATGTAAACTACAGATATTTATGTCTCAGTTCTAGAAGCTGGAAGTCCTCGATAAAAGGTGCTGGCAGATCCTGTTCGTGGTGAACATCTCCTTCCCGGCTGGCAGGCAGTGTCTTCATGCTGTGCCCGCATAGCTCTGGTCTCTGTCCCTTACGAGGGCAGTAACCCCGTCATGGGGACACCACCCTCATGGACCTCCTCTAAGCCTGATCACCTCCCAAAGGCCCCATCCCCAAATATCACCACACAAAGGTTAGGGCTTCAACATAGGAATTTGGGAGGACACGTTCAGTCTGTAACAGTTCTCAAGATTTCCATTTCTCAGGTGATTTTTCAAGCCAGAATTAAAATTAAAGTTTTGCAATTCTGTTAGTACTTACTACAAAAATTATGTCATTTTATGAAATGAGAATATTTACAGAGAATAAAATCATTCTTTTTGCTGTTAAGTTCTCTAACAAATACATGAAGTATTATAAGAATCTGTGACTTCTTTTACATTTTAAGCAATTGTTAAAAGTGCACGGTTTTAAATGTTTTTTTCTTTTTGATAATGTGTGATGAACGTAGTGTATTTATTTATTTTCAACTTTTTGACTGCATCAAGGCTAAAATACGTTGCCTCCTGCCTAGCGCACCCGTGCAAGCATGCATATGCCAGCACACCTGAGAGGGGCTGGCCTCTGCACAGAGCTCTAGAAAGCAGAGCTTTCTAGTCTCCATTTTCACTTTTTTTAAATGCTGGTTGCAACTCACTAAAGTGATAGAAGAATATTCTGTTTGGTGATTTTAGGCCATCCTTTGTGAATTCCTGTTGCCTCCAAAATAGGGTCCCTCCCTCGGTGGGCCATGTGGGACAGAGCAGATGCCTCTACTTATATCCCTAGAGAGTGTGTTTGGGGCAGTCATCACTAAAGTGCCATTCACAGGGACTGTAGTTACGGTCTTCTATAGCCATTGGTACCAGTCATTCTGTGCACCCTGAAGAAGACACCTTTGCAGATATTTGCATATTTGCTCTTTTTTGTTCCATAAGAAATGGTCTGAATACATCTGTGTTGTACCTGTCAGATACTTAGCCCACAGGTGACAGTGCATGTATGTAAATACAAGCATGTAGTGTTACTTTATCTTCTTGTTTTAATCTCCCAGGTGATGAGAATTTGGCCATTTAATTCATGCAAATCATTAGCACTGTATTTTCTGTTGTGCAGATTCGTAACCAGCTTAACCAGGAACAGAATTCAAAACTCCAGCAGCAGAAGGAACTCTTAAATAAGCGCAACATGGAGGTGGCCATGATGGACAAGCGAATCAGTGAACTGCGTGAACGTCTTTATGGGAAAAAAATTCAGGCATGTGAAAGAGAAAATATTTCTGTGAGATAAAGTACTAAAAATGGTTCAGCCCCAAATTGCATGTCTTTGCTATAATGGCATTTTGCTCCCCTGATCCACCACAGCTGATAGAATATAAATTGTCCTTAAGCCATAAAAAACACAACAGTAGAAGAAAGTTTCTCACGGACACACTGGTTTCCTGGTGTATGGAGTCCAGGCCATCCCTGTCCGCAGCCCCTGTGCTGTGGCCTTGCCCTCCGTGCCCCTGGGCAGCACTCCCGCCTCGCCACGAGTATTTGGCTCTGGAATTGCAGCAATGGGCTTGATCTGCCATTTTTTGCAGACCAAACCCCTTGACCTTGAGTGGACTTGTGCCCTCCCTGCCCTATAACCTAGAAATAACCCCTGTGAAAGGGCTTTGTAAACTCTCAGGGGAAGTGCTATGTAAGGGGTTTATGCTTTTTAAAAATATTTTGATATTTTGAGTTTGAAAGGTAATAAATACTCATCGAAAGAAGTTAAAACAGTATAGAAATATTTAAAGCAAATATGAAAGTCCCTTCTGCCCTTTTCATCTTCTCCAGGGCTGCTAGTTGTTAATGGTTCCAATCTTTTTCTTAGTACAGGGAGAAAGATATTCATTTTAAATTGAAAATGTAACTGTAGGAATTATACCATTCGTACTGCTCTGCACCTAGTTTTGTTTTGTTTTTTTTTATAACTGCAACATGGGCATCTTTCCAGGCCGTTGCCTCACTCCTTCTGTGACTTCTGTATGGTACTCCACATCCCAGGGTGGGGTCACTTTACCAGCCCTGTTGTCAGGCAGGGTGTCCCAAGTCTCCCTGTTACCAGGGCATTCGTGAGCATGTGGCAGCCAGCCTTTCTCCCATAAATGGTGCTCGGCCTGAGGGAAGCAGTGCCTGGGTGCAGAGCTGATCAGCTGTCTGCCCTCTGGAGTGGAGGGTGCAGCAGGCAGCCAGCACGCTGGGACAGCGCTCCCAAAGTTCCCTTCTCCCACTTAGTAATTGGTCAACTTCTGCTGCTCTGAAGGCAGCTTTTCAGGATGTAAGGCATGGGCTTAGCTTTGCCCTGGTGGGTTGGCTTAGGAGGGAGGAGGGAACCGCCACTCCTTTGGTGTCATGATCTGTGGTCTCAGGTGAAAATCTCTTATTTACAGACCTACACTGTTTTTTTGGTTGTTTAACCAGTCTCTAAAGGTCAGTGATTAAACTGTATAAATGTGGTCTCAAATAATGGTTTTCTTTTTCTCTGGGTTAATGGCACAGGCCGTGGGGAGGGCGCATGAACCATCTCCATGCTCGCTCATAGCACTCTTTATTTGTGGTGTACCAGTCAGGGCCCTCCAGAGAAACAGAGTCAGCGAGGTGTATGTAGAGAGACTGACTGACTGATTGATTGATTGATTGATTCCAAGGAATTAGTTCACTCGATGTGGAGGCTGGCACATCTGAAGTCAGCAGGGCAGGCCAGCAGCCTGAAGACCTGGGGGGTTACTGGCATTGCAGCTTGAGTCTGTGGGCAGAGCCCCTGGCCCTTGGAGGCCCCCTCCTCAAGGCCTTCAGCTGTTGGGCATGGCCCACCCACATTATGGAGGCCCATCTGCTTTACTGAAAGTCTGTTGATTAAAATGCTAATCTTACATAGTAAACACCTTCACAGCCACATCTAGATGTGTTTGAGCAAACATCTGGGTACCATAGCCTGGCTGCGTTGACACATAACATTAACTATCACAAGTGGCTAGCTAAATCTTACTTCCTGAATTCCAACTGATGGTTCTAAGGGATCTCCCTGAAGAAATGGGTGCTTCTGCAAAGATGTCTCCACACAAAGGCCTTGAGCACCTCTGAGCAATTGTCAGAGTCATGAACCCTCTCCCTAAAATGACACATTCTCATATAGGCAGAATTTTGCAAACAGTTGTAGGGGTTATGGATCCCTCACGTACAGCCCATCTGGGGGTCCTAAAGAGTCAGCAGTTCCCTAGTTAGAGCCCTGTGATGGGACTCATTTGTTTTTTGGGCAGCATCATGTGACCAGTGTGGCTGGCTGTGGCTTGGTGTCCTTGCTGAGAAATGCAGAGTTGCCTTCAGGGAACTGGTTGGAGCTGCAGGCCCTGTCACTGCCCGGCATGGCTCCTTCAGTCCTTACAAGAACCCTTTATCATCCTGACTTTATGGACGTGGGCACAGAGGTTCAGAAAGGTTGAGCTGCTTGCTCAAGGCAGTGTAGCAAGTATGTGGCAGAGTAGGATTTGAAGGCAGGCTCAGAGCCTAGGCTTTGACCACCGAGGGGAGGGAGAGAGAGCACCCCAGGTAAGGGGTGATGTGGCAGAGTCCTGGGGAGCTGTTCTGTTACACCTTCAGCTCCTGGTTTTCTCGACTCACAAATGGGTAGGTGCTGTCAAAGGGAGACTGGCTGGTGGGGGGCCCCTTCCATGAGGGTGTCCCTTTTGGGTACTGGCCTTTCAGGGAGATGAGCTGCCTGAGTAAGATTACTGAGGTCTGAGCAGCCTGTCACACTAGGCTTACAGTTTCTTTTACTTTGGGAGAAACTTAACTCTGGTTTCTTGCCATTTTCTAGCTGAGCCGTGTGAACGGCACGTCATCACCGCAGTCGCCCCTGAGCACCCCGGGCAGGGTTGCAGCAGTGGGGCCTTACATCCAGGTGCCAGGAGGCAGCTCTTCTGTCCCGGGGGACCCCATCAAGCCCCAGGTGCTTGCGATCGCCTCGAGCACTGCCCATGGAAGATCCAAATCTGGTGAGTGGCCCAGGCCTCTTCCTGGGGGTGGGGGGGTGTGATGGAGTAGGGAAGTGGAGCCTTGGGTCCAGCAGCCTCAGGGGAGCCCCTGCATTGCACCCCAGACTTTGCCCGCATTAGTCCCCCACTAGGTGCTTTGTCTTCTGGGCAGCGTTTGGGAGCAGTGCGCCACCACAGTAACGATGAACAGGTTCTCTTTATTGAACTGAATGTATTTACTGTGTGGCTTTTGAAAACACTAATTAATTAAGACCTGATCCTCTCCTGTCACAGGTTTCATTTGCCTGTGAGGGCACTCAGTGGCACAGCTGCCACCCAGGCAGAGGGTCCACCTCCCATAAGCAGAACACTATGGCTCATCTTTGCCTTTGTCCACTCAGCAGGACCTTAATCGATCAGGAAACCCACAGACCATCACTTTGGCCCTTGGCTATGCTGAGTCATGCAGTGTGACCAGATGTGTCTCTCCCAGCACCATGCTCATGAGTAGCTTTCTTGAGGACGACGGGATGCCCCCCAACCCCAGGCTCTCCAGCCCAGGGCAGGTTATCCACAGAGAGTCTGCTCTCTGCTCCCTCCTCAGGGGAGGGTGGCTATTTCTTAAAGCAGCACATAAAAAGCTAGGGCTGCTTTGCAGTATGACTCTCCTTGTGGGGGCTAACCAGTGTGCCTGCAGCGCGGGACTGCGGTGTGCAGGAGCCGACCCTGCTGTGCCTCTGCGGCCCCGAGGACTGCTTTCTGGGCAGGAGATGGACGTGTGCTCTTTTGTTGGTTTACTTCATGTTCCCTTGCCTGGCCCCTCTGCTGCAGGGCTCGGGACTTGTTCTGGCCCAGCCCTCGAGGACCACATGCCCCAGTTCAGATCTCTTCACCGTGTCTCAGCAGCCACACAGGGCGTGTGGTTAGCATGACTATTGAATTGCATCTTTCTTTGATAAGCTATTATTTACAGTCTGAACCTCCCTATGGTGGGAGTAAGTGTTCATCTGTTTCCAATGGTAGATAATTAGCACAGTAGCTACTTCTCTGCCAACTTCATTTTAAACCCTTCCCAAGCTGGGAACATCTCCCATTTCCCCTCTTCTCTGTGGGCAAGTGCTGGGCCACCTCACAGGGGTGGAAGGAGGAGACAGACAAGTTGGGCACTAGCCTCTGTCTCTCTGCTGTGCGGCAGGTGACTGGATGCAGGAGGCCTGTGCCTCCCCACACCAGGGGCAGTCTCGGCCTATGAGCGGAGCTGGGAGGGGGAGATCCCCACAGGGATTCTAACCTGCACTGCCGGCTGTCCTTTGGTTCCATGTCACACAGATGGCCATGGTAAACCCAGAGAGACCAGCTCGTGGATGGTGTCAGACCTCGATGCCCCGCCTGACTGCGGCTCCTCACAGCCCTCTGCAAACCTGTGTGCAAAGCGTATGTCAGCCGGCAGGCCTTGTGGCCACTGACCCTCCTTAGCACTTCCAAACCAACAGTCATGTGTGCTTCCAAACGCTCATCACACCTAGGCCTGAGAAAGATGCCACGTAAACATTGGCCCTTTCTTCAACAGGTGTGAAGTTTGGGCTGGGCCACATACACCAGATCATCCTTAGGGAGGCACAGCAAGCATTTTTTGGGTTTGTTTTAAAGAAGTTCAGATGATTTTCTGAGTTCATAATGAGATGTTTAATTTTATCTTCAGTACAAAAATCTCCCATCATGCTTAAAGTTAATTGTCCTTTTATAATAAAAATAAATGATCTTCCGTCTATACCTCCTGCCTTATTCTAAAGGAAGAAAATTCCTAGTTCTTTCTTAGCCCTTTGTAGCTGATTCCCACATAAACTCCCTGCTGAGGGATTCCCACAGCCACTGGACAGCCCTGTCCCCTGTGAGCCAAGACAGGGCCCTGGAAACCAGCAGTGTGGGCCGGCCCCACCCCTCCTGAGTCTGCAGGGACTGTTTCCCAGCAGCCTGCAGTTTGCACCGGGGTGTGTCCTTGGTGATCCTGTGCATTTCTATCCCCGCATTGCCAGTCTGAGAGGCCTGGAAGAGGCTGGCAGACCACACACAGCAAGGCGGCCGCATATACGGCCTTACCCTTGCAGCTTGCTGAGCACCATTCTGACCATGCTGCCTGGAGCCTGGGGGGATTTTTGGCAATGCAGTGATTCAGCAGTGCAGCAAGGAGGCATCTGGGTTGCGGAGCACTGCGATGGGTAGAGCCAGCTTAGGGGCGGCCCAGCTAGGGCACTTGGAGGCTCTGCTCACCTCACTGCCTCCTGTGGCTGTGCCCGGAGCGTGCGGAGAGCCGAATTCCTGTTTGATGAGTGGAGGGCTTGACTCTAACACTGTTGTAGGAAGTGATTTCCTGGTTGCTCCTCAGGTGACCCAGCCTGCTTGTGCTGATGGACTTGGGGAGGGACGAGGATCTGCTCTTCTGGTCAGAGGGCCTGAAACTGTCCCCTCTGATCTCTCTGTCCCATATGGCTGACGGCTAGGGTGTTCACCTGTGCCCGCTACGGAGCAAAGCAAGAGCCTGAGTCGGGGTATAACCTGCCCCTACAGACGCGGTGATGTATTCATGTCACTGAATAAGCCTGTGTTATCAGGGAATGCCTCTGCACCCTTTCTCAGTTTGGAAAATGCTCTGTAAAAAGAACGTATCTCTTCAGTGGCTTTCCTGAACACCTGGGGGTTACTGGCTTTCTAATCACTGCAACAAAACGATAGTCTGCTACTCCAGTCACTGGACTCTTGTGGTTATGAGTTATTTTAAGAGGATAGAAAGTTCTAAGAGATTAAAGTCGATATCAAAGTAATATAGGTCAAACCTGTTACAAAGTCAAAAGACAAATCTTTTTTTATTGCTGTATGTAACTTATAAATAGTGTTTGAATAGTAAGTACCAATGCTTATTCACTGGTGTTGATATAATAGATTTGACCTGTCTTTAAATGGGGACCCGAGAGTGCTTCTACATCCTCTGGCCCCTTGCCTGCTTTGGAGTGGCCCTGTGCTTGGTCAAGTGTCTACATGTGAAAGGGACGCAGGCGTTGGCAGTGCCTCGCCGGCAGAGGCCACCCTTCATCCTGCCGCACACAAGCCCACGTGGAGGAAGGGGTTCATGGAGACATCAGAACATGATGTCTCAGAAGTGACTTTTGTTTCTGGCAGGGGGGTGTTATGTTCAGTTAATTTCAAGAAAATTTTTACTTAAATTCTATGTTCTTTTCAAGCCAATGATGGAAACTGGCCAACGTTAAAACAAAATTCTAGCTCTTCAGCGAAACCAGTGCAGGTTGCCAGTGTGGACTGGAAGGACTCAAGTGTGGAAGGTCCCATCAAGCCAGGGACCGTCTCAAGCCAGCCTGTGCCCTTGTCTGCTTTAGGCGCCACGGAGAAGCCGGTAGGCTGTTTGTCTTATCACAAAATACACACAAGCTTCTATTTGGCCATGTCTTCATCTGAGGGATAGGAGGTGTCATGAGGCAAATTGATCCTGTTAGTGTCCAAATTATACCCAAGTCCTTAGAAGTTCATGGACCCTAAGCCTGAGCAGTATGAAAGTGTAAACACCTTTTGGTCAGGATCATTCTGTTGTAGACCAGTGATGAGGCCTGCTGTGTTTGACCCCCTCCCAGGGTGCCCCGTGCCTGGTCACAAGCTGATTTGAAGGATTATAAGTCCTACTTTTCTCTTGTTCTCCTGTGACCATGGATAGAAATATGCTTAACTTTCAAAGGGTAACTTTCTTTTTCTTCTTAACATCTAAATTTAGGGCATTGAGATGGGTAAAGTGCCACCCCCCATCCCTGGTGTTGGCAAGCAGCTGCCTCCAAGCTATGGGACACACACAAGTACTGCACCCGTGGGCCTGGGGCCAACAGACTCCCTGGAGAGGAGGAAGGAGGGCAGCTTGCCCAGGCCTGGTGCAGGCCTGCCTACTCGGCCAAAGCCCGCCCCGCTGCCCACTGTGGGTAGCACGCACCAGCCAGGTTCCTCGCAGCAGATTCAGCAAAGGATTTCTGTGCCACCAAGTCCCACATACCCACCAGTGGGGCCGCCTGCATTTCCAGCTGGAGACAGCAAACCTGAACTTCCACTGACTGTGGCTATTAGGCCCTTTCTGGCTGATAAAGGATCAAGGCCACAGTCCCCCAGGAAAGGACCCCAGACAGTGAATTCAAGTTCCATATATTCCATGTACCTCCAGCAAGCCACACCACCTAAGAATTACCAGCCAGCGGTGCACAGCGCCTTAAATAAGTCGGTAAAAGCAGGTACTACGGCTTTGTGCTCTCCTTCTCTTGAGGCTAGGAAGTTTTACTTAAGAAAATGCCAGTAGGATTGAAACCTGATTCTTACATAAAGTGTGGTCCTGGATGTCTGTGTAAGTAAGGAGGGGATACAAGCTGGAATGCATGGGCAGTTTTGTGGGTGGGTCACAGCTCTCTGACTTTCTGTTTGAGTGCCTGCCTCCCTGTGTCCCTCAGGAGAGCCAGCCTGGACTCAGTACTCCCAGCCCCCTGGCAGTGACTGAGCCAGGCCCTTGGAGGGGACTTGAGGGGGTCTGCTGCTTTGGGAGCCTCCCTCAGAGCCCATGGGCGAGAAGAGCCTTGGTTTGAGGGAGGGGAGACAGTCCGTGTGTGTCCGAGGAGGGCGGGTGAGAGAATGGAGCCTCGGCCCTCACACACTGACCCGTGTAGAGGGCTGTGCACTTAAGGGCTGGGCTGGGGGGCCTCCTCAGACCTTTCTGGGCATGGGCTCTGAACGGCTAGCACCCTTCTTCAGAGCTCCTGGGCCGCCAGGCAAAACTCCCTGCCTGAGGCAGCCTGGGTTTTATAACCATCCGGCTGAGGGCGAGGGTCAGATGCTGTTTAGGGGTGACATCTTCCTCTAGCCTGAAAACTGGGTAAGGGCTTGTTTTGAGTGGGGAAGTCACTTTCACAACTTTCTTTTTTCATTTGAAAAGCCTCAATTCTGGAAACCCCAATGTAAACTGATAAATTAGAGACACTCCACCTAACAAAAGGAGTCAGTGGGGCTCTTGAACAGAGGGCTCCGTAGGGATTTAAAATTAGGGTTTGCCACCCGCCACGGCAGGTCCACAGCCTCTGCAAGAGCCTGTCTCTGGTGCCCAAAGGTGCTTAGTGACCGGGCCCCAGTCCCCACAGGCTGCTGACATTGCCCTGTCCTCTGTGTCTCCTCCAGTATACGGGAAACCTGTGTTACCATCTGGGTCAACGTCCCCGTCACCCTTACCGTTTCTTCATGGGTCGCTGGCCACAAGTGTTTCACAGTCCCAGCCACCTTCAGAAAGTGCAGAGAAAGAGCCAGAGCAGGACAGCCATGCCCCTCCCGGAGATGGTGGCACTGGCCACGTGGAAAGCCTGCCACGGCCACTCAGCCCCACCAAGCTCACGCCCATCGTACACTCACCGTTGCGCTACCAGAGTGACGCCGACCTGGAAGCCCTGCGCAGGAAGCTGGCCAACGCGCCCCGGCCCCTGAAGAAGCGCAGCTCCATCACAGAGCCTGAGGGTCCCGGTGGGCCCAACATCCAGAAGCTGCTGTACCAGCGCTTCAATACCCTGGCTGGGGGCATAGAGGGCACCCCCTTCTACCAGCCCAGCCCCTCACAGGACTTCATGGGCACACTTGCCGATGTTGACAATGGCAATACCAATGCCAACGGGAACCTGGGAGAGGCCAGCCCCGCCCAGCCCACGGCCCTGCTCCCCGCTGAGCCCACTCCGTCCTCAGATGCCAACGACAATGAGCTCCCTTCCCCGGAACCACAGGGGCTCATCTGTCCCCAGAGCGCGCGCCAGACGGCCGAACCTGCTGAGGACACGAACAACAACGTGGCCCCGGCCCAGACCACAGAGCAGGTCCCCAGCCCTGGGGCCGAGGCTCCCTCCCCGGGGGAGGAGCAGGTCCCCCCGCCCACTCCTGCTGTGCCCCCTCCGGCAGCCTCCACGGTGGGTGTCGTCGGAGACAAATAGCCAGTGCTTGTGTGGGGCCTGCGGTGCCTGGAGTGGTGGGGCCTTGTCCCCACCCTCACCAAGTCAGGTGGTGGGACAGGTGGGTCAGCCTGCAGACAGGGCTCAGAAGCAGAAGTGCAGGGGCTGTGGAGGCTCACTGGAGGCTCCCCTGGGAAGGGCAGGCAGTGGGGAGAAACAGACCAGACAGAGCCCTGCTGGTAGGAGTTCAGCGTGTTGATGGAGCAGGGAGGGTGGTGGGAGTCGCGTGGGGATCCTGCACGTCTGGCAGTGTGAGCTGCTAAGTCCTGGGGTGAAAGCAGTAGGAAGCGTGGCCATCTTCACCTGGTCCTGGGGCCAGAGCCTGGGCAGGGCTCCCTTGCGGCAGCAGTAGGCCCCGCGGACGCCACCGGGGCTGCGATCCTGTCCTCCCCCCGGGCTGCTTCGCTGTACTGCTCTTTTAAGTCCAATGCCTGCTTCCTTCCACTAGAGCAAACGGACCAACCTGAAGAAGCCTAACTCGGAGCGGACCGGGCACGGGCTGAGAGTCCGCTTCAACCCCCTGGCGCTGCTCCTAGATGCTTCACTGGAAGGAGAGTTTGACCTGGTGCAAAGGATCATCTATGAGGTGAGCTGACGGGGGGTGCAGCCTGCACAGCTGCAGGTCGGTGCTCACCACGCCCTGTGTCCCAGGTGGAAGACCCCAGCAAGCCCAACGATGAAGGGATCACCCCGCTGCACAATGCCGTCTGCGCTGGCCACCACCACATTGTGAAGTTCCTGCTGGACTTTGGGGTCAACGTGAATGCCGCTGACAGCGATGGCTGGTGAGGGCCCCTGGGGCGGGGCCCAGAAATCCCTTTCTGCAGTACAAAAGGGTTGGGCTGTCTAGAATGACCGGAGGGGAGGGGCGAAGCCAAGGGCGGGCAGGACGCCTTTCCCTGGTGCTTGTCCGTGTTTTGTGAGGTTCACCTCCCAGCCTTTGCTCTCGATTTATTAAAAGCACAGCTGTGATTATGTGCTTCCCTTACCCCATAACTAACAGTGTAGGGGAAGCACGCTACCAGTCATTCCTCTCCAGCTGTCTTTTAAGTGGTTTAGTGATCTGTGTGAGGAGGAACTTCACGGTCCCGCTTTGGGGGGGCATTTAGCTCACCCTGGAGCTGCCGTCAGCCCTCAGGCCTCTGCAGGCAGTACTGGGGACTCCAGGCAGCTCCCTGTTCTGCTGTCGGAACACCTGGGTGCTTTAAATCGTGGTGAAATACGTGTACCATCGTAGCCACGTTAAGGCTTGTCGGCAGTGTGACGTACGTTCACATTGCACAGTGAGCATCTGTTTCATAGGCCATTTCTCTGTCCACCCCCTGCCCCCCTTTTCAAAAATTTACGTGTGATCCAAACCACTCGAAGCCAGGCACACAGACAGTGGCAGGGCATGAGGCACAGCACAGCCCTGTCCCTGAGGCCTGGGGCAGCGCCGCAGCACCTTCACCTCCTGCCGTTCCAGGACGCCGCTGCACTGCGCCGCCTCCTGCAACAGTGTTCACCTCTGCAAACAGCTGGTGGAGAGCGGCGCCGCCATTTTTGCCTCGACCATCAGCGACATTGAAACTGCTGCAGACAAGTGTGAAGAGATGGAGGAAGGCTACATCCAGTGTTCCCAGTTTTTATATGGTATACGGGGACCTTGAGGTGCCCCTTGGGTTCATTTCCTGGGTGCAGTGGTGACGATTGCCATGGTGCTGTCAGGGCCCAGGAGGAGCCCAAGCTTAGCTTCAGGGGGCAGTCTAGCAAGCCTTGATAGAATGGAGGTCGCTGTCCCTTAGGGTCATTCTTGATGCCATGTTTGAAAATCCATGTTGTCAGAAGAATTCTGGGCTGGATTGCTAAAAACAAAGCTCCCTTTTCTGTGTCGGCACAGATGTTGCCCCTCTGGGCAGAGGAGCTGGTGGGCAGGGGGTGGCCGGGCAGTGCCTGTCTGCACACTTTCAGTGGGATGCACCAGACTTGAAGCAGGCCTGGTAAAGAGTCCTAGTGGGCTGAGGCATCCCAGAGTTAGGCCACAGTCGGGCCCCTGTCTCCATCCGGGGTGACATTGAAGAGTAAGGCACATCGTGTCAGGACTCAGCTGCTGTGGCCAAGGGCATGCTTCCCAAGAGCTGAACTCCTGTCCTGAGGGTCAAGGAGCTGCAGGTGTCCAGTCCACACATAACTTGAGAACATGTGGGCGCAGCCCTTCATCAGACCCTGGGGTAAAGGGATAAACGAACACAATGCCCTGCAGGCCCCTAGTGCTAGGTCAGGTGGCAGCAGGGTCTGGGAGACCCCGGCACAGTGAGCCTTCGGGAGGAGTAGGGAGCCCTGGGCCCTCAGCATGGCCTTTTCCTGGGACCCCTAGGTGACTTCTGGGCATGGGCTGGCTTGGTCCCGGTGGCTGGCAGGCATGTAGCTCCTTCCTGCCATTTGCCAGTGCTTCCTGCTGACCAGGAGCAGTTCCTAGCTTCTGGCAGGCTTTGGAAACTGTTCCAGATGTGATTTGGTTCACCTTAAGAAATGCCTTTTGGAACAAGCCACCTTTGCCCCTGGAGTATGCCTCTGCTACTTTGGTAGCACTACTCTTGCTGGGATGCAGAAAGAACTGCAGACTTGAAGCCGAGGCCTCCTGGGGAGGCGTCCGGCTGTGCAGCCCTGGCTTCTGACTGCCCACCCAGCAGCATGCAGTGGGCCATCCAGCCCCGCAGCCTGTCCTCCTGACTGCTGGCTGTTGTCCCAGGGGTGCAGGAGAAGCTGGGCGTGATGAACCGAGGAGTCGTGTACGCCCTATGGGGCTACGAGGCCCAGAACAGTGACGAGCTGTCCTTCCACGAAGGGGACGCCATCACCGTCCTGAGACGCAAGGACGAGAGCGAGACTGAGTGGTGGTGGGCCCGCCTTGGGGACCGGGAGGGCTATGTGCCCAAAAACCTGCTGGGGGTAAGCATGCTGAGCTCGCCTGGGGCCTGACAGCTGCTGGGGGCCACTTTGCGGGGCTCTCCTTTCCTTCTCTGTGGGCTCAGGCCCTACAGGCCGGCGCGGCAGGAGAATGCCTCCTGCGGACCCAGTGCCCCCGCTCAGGCAGGCAGGTGTGCAGTTGGAGGGCCCGGGCCCCCAGCATGAGCTGCCCAGCACACTGTGCTCACAGGGGCCTTGGTGAGCAGCCAGTCTCAGCCCAGCCAGACTTCTCCGAGCCCAGAAATGTCTCTGATCGGGGTGGGGGGCAGTCTGCAGGTTGGAGGCTTGGTTATGGCTGTAGTAGCATCTGCCCCGTGGGGAAGTGCTGCAGCTCCCCCATGGCCAGGGCGCCCGCAGAGGTTGCCTTCACTCCGTAGTCACTGAATGCCAAGCACCTGCTGGATGCCCAGGTGAGCCCAGCAGAGAACAGCGATGCCTGCCTTCCCTCAGGCGGTCTGAGACAAGTGACAAATATTTTAGGGGATACCGAGTGCCATGAGAGAATAGGGGATAGGGTGTCCTAGGTTGGGGGGGGCGAGGTGACTCTTAAAGAGCTAGAGGGCCTCAGGGGGAGGGTGGCGGCCGTGCTCCACCCTGAGGAAGGTGCGCTGAACCGCCGTTCCTGCCCGGTGCACCGTGTTTCTCTTGCTTCCCAGTTGTACCCACGGATCAAACCCCGACAGCGAACGTTAGCCTGAGCTTCCACCTGGAGCACTGCTGTGAGGAGCTGCTGAAGAGATGATTCTGCTGTTTCCCCAGGAAAGCTGAAGCTAGAATGGTTTCATGGTGCTCACTTTAGCAGCCAGCATCCACAATGTGAAATTCCTGCAGTTTTTAGGTGAGGCCCTTTCTCCAGTTTGCCCACACCTGGGAGACGTACTTTCACCTCCAAGAAGATGGAATTTTGCCAATTACTGTAAATCCAAATAAATACCCAGCTTTTTAAACAACTGCCCCGTTGCCAATGTGAAGCCCTGTAATCACACCTGGCCAGGGTGGGTGCCATGACGACAGACTCTCTGACTCAGCTCGGCTGACCCTCGTCCCCACAGTGAAAGTCTGCACTGTGCCGTGAGCTCCCGGCTAGAGCCCTGCCCTCGTCTCTGGACACCACAGAGCCCCACCACTCTTCCCACCCTCAGCACACACATTCGTCTTCATTGTCAAAGGAGCCCCTATATGGAAACTTCTGTCCAGTGGTGGTGGTGGTAGTGCCCGATGCCCATGTCCTTGCGTGGGTGCTCCACTGCCCGCTCCCGGCAGTGGTCTGCATCACCTGCAGGCTGATGGTGCTGGTCTGGAATTCACGTCCCCAGACAAGGGCCCTTAAGAGCACGTGACATGGGTGCGAGGCTCGACACGCACCAACCCCTCCTCTGCAGCCTCTTGCTGCCCGGGTGTTGTTCTTACTGCCTCATAGTGTGGACATGCTCTGCTCTTGGGTGCAGCCCACAGGCCAGGAGCCTGAGGTCAGTCAGTCTGGGTGGGGCAGAGTGAGGGTACCTACATGTCAGGAGGGGCAGCTGTGGGGCAGGAGAAGGGGGCAGGGCCCGCCTCCCCAGGCCAGGCCTCCTGGGACTCCGTAACCTCCAGACTTCAAGCAAGCACGACTCCTCACTGCTGTTTGTATGTACAGGCTTTTATCTACTAACACTATTTTTTGACACGACCATTCAAAACTACCAGATGATGCTGGAAATGTTTTTTCCTCTCATTAACATCTAGGCCCGTAGGCTTTATTTTCCACGTGTGAGTCACATGTATAACTTGTGGGTGAACGTGTGTAGATCCATTGCTTTAGTCGATCACCTTTAAGTACTGATTGTATAGCACGGTGATGAGAAGCGAACGCCCTGTGGGGCAGCCTCTGCGAGCCCCTGCCGTGCCAGCACCGCTGACGCCATGTAAGTGTGCACAATAAACCGCTCTCTCACGCTGGCGGCTGTGAGTCTTGTGTCTGGAGTCAGAACGGAGCTGTAGCACAAGGCACAGGTTATATGCACACAGGGAGGTGAGGCCTGACCCATATTTTCAAAATAGGTTTTAATCATAAGCTTTATATACAAACTGTACAATTATTTTAGTAAAGTGAAACAGTAAGTAAAAAGTACAAAACACAAGGCTGGCTCCTCCCCGTCAGTGAAGGATCAAGCGTGTGTTCACAGCCCACAGTTAGAGCCGCAGGGAGAGAGCAGTCTCAGCTGCGCTCGGGCTCAGGCCACATCGGCCTGAGTAACTACCACCCACGTCTCCTGCGGAGGAGTTCATGAAATGAACAGAAAGGCCAGAACCTTCTAGTAAACCTGGGCACTCGTAAAATCCCAGTACAGATTATGCTAAAAATGGCTTAGCAGTAGTGTAGCTCAGTCTCTCCCATCCCCAATTAAGTATCAACAAGATAATACACAAATTCTAAAGCATGAGGCTGTTCAGAGCATTAATAACTATATGTATTGCACTAGGTAAGCGAACACTTCTGTTTCTCCCAGTATTTGAATTGCATTTCCCATCATGTGTAGGATTAGTCGCCCGTGTGCACACAGCAGGCTCTGCTGCTCCAAGCTGATTGTTCATCTCCTGTGGAGTTACTGGTCCCGAGATTCATAGAGGAGCTTGGCAGCCTACAAGATGACCAGAAATAGACACGGAGAAAGGTGGTTGATCCTGTGCCCGGCCGGAGCTGGTCTGGGCACTCCCCAACTGGCAGGTCGTCTGCTGGGAAAGGTGGGCCTGCACTCTAAGCAGAAGGGCCCAGCCTCCCAAGCCCCTGCCTGCCTCGGCCACAGTACCTTGTGCATGGCCACTAGCCAGGCTATCGACTGCCTTCTGCTGGCATTTGCATCCTCCCCAGCTGTCAGCTTCAGTTGGGTCACGCTCTCTGTCCCTGGCACTGTGTACTGCAGGGACATACCTGTGGCCCGTGCGTTGCCTCCTGGAGGAGAGAGACAAGGTGAGAAGGCCCAAGGGGAATGCAGAGCACAGAGGGTGCGGCCACCCTGACAGGGGAGTGGTCAGGGTGCCTTCATGCTGCTCTGAGAGGCGGCCTGGTGGGGGGGCCTGTCCTCGGGAGGCACCCCATGAATGAGCTCCTCAGGCCTTCTGATAGGTGACCCCGAGTTCATGGGATGGGAAAGAGACTGAGTCACCTGGCCCGGTGCTCTCCAGAGCCAGGGATAAACTGCACCATATCAGGGCCAAGGGAGACATGGCTGTGTCTCCCAGTCCCAAGACAAGGTTCCTGACATGGGGCTGTGTCCAGGCACTGGTCACACTGGTCTGCAGGGTAGGTGAAAGCAGGGCCTGCCCGCCCCTGGCTACCCCGATCCTACTGAGAGCCAGGGTCAAAGCTGAGGAGGGTGTGAGCAAGGCCTAGCGCCAACCCAGGGGGCAGACACCCCACCCTCACACATGCACGCCCACAAGATGCCATGTGGGCGATTGGTCTGCTGGGGCCCTACCCATCTCTGGGCTGTGGCCAGCTGCTTTGTTGATAATTCCAACACTTGCCCTGAGAACCAACCTCAAAGAACAGAAAATAGCATTTCAGATAGACAATAGCAGTCAGAAAAGTCACCTTCATGACTTGGGAAGGGAGACTGCATTTTGAGCAGTGACCCACCTGAATCCTTTGATCAGACACAGACCAGAGTCAAAACCGAGAGCCTGCGTCTGCCACCACCAGATGGGTGGGCAGTCTGGGTGTGCCACCTGTGGCCCCAAAGCCACCTCAACCAGCCTTTCACAAGCCACATTCCTACCCCATGTGGCCCCTGGCTTGTTCCCAGCGTGGCTCCTGGCAGGCGCTCCCACCCATGCCCCGGAGCAGACTGTGGCCCTGCCACTCCTATGTGCAGCAGCTCTCAGGCCTACGGCCACAGCTGTGTCTGCACGTCTGGGTGCTTTCACACTTTGGCCAGGTCTACATGGCCAGTGCAGATAAAGAGTTCCACTGCCTGCCCCCTCCCCACTCCACCCCCACAGGAAGATGATTCTGGGGTTTCAAAGGTTCTAAAAAATGGCACAGCAGGGCTCTGTATTCTCAAAACTGCCATGAGGGGCACATAGTGCCGATGCCCCGGGCCCTGTCAAGAAGGGTGAGACCAGAGGCTTCGCTAGGTGAGCTGGCATGGTGCCTGCCTCCCTGGCCTGGGGTGGGGCTTTGGCAAGGTGTGTTCCTGAGCTCGAGGGGCACCTGGGGTGATCCCCAGTTTCTCAAGACACCTCCCTTTGCACCAGGGCATCTCCAAGTCACAGCCCACCACAGGTGACCAGCATGGTGCTCAGGACAGAGGTAGCAAAATGCCAGCCTGGCCCTCTTGCATCATCACTCAGGCTCGGACAGAAATGTGGAGAGTATGAAAGGCTCCCAGAAGAGCCCAGAGAGCTGGCTGTGAAGGGGCCCCCTGCACCCCCATCCCTGTCCAGGGCTGAGCACTCCAGGCCGACCCTGACAGGAAGTGGACTACCTTCCTGTCCACTAGCTGCTGCTCCTGAGTCGGGCACTGCAGACCGAGCCCACTCCTGCCGGGCTGTCGTCACTCAACGCTCACCACACGCACATCATGGATCCGACCCTCTCTCAAACCAACCAGAGGAAGTGACCGTATTTCACAGACCCTGGCGTGGATTGCCCACAGGGTGTCAGGAGGACTGGGGCTGCAGCATGCAGGGGAGAGCAGCAGGGAGCGTGTGGCTGACCTTGAGAGACAGGCTGGCTCCCCAGGAGGCTGTTTTAAGTGTGAATGTCTTTCTACGTCAAGAAGGTAGCAGGCAGGCAGAAGAGGACAGTCAAGAACCAGTCAGGAAACAGAAAGCAACACAATGGAGCCGCATGGATCTTCTCAGCACACTGTGCACCTTACAGAACACAAACTCCACTTTGGTGGACAGATGGCTTCTGAAGCACGTAGTTTGAAAGATCCAGACCAGCTAAATGCTCTGGAAGCTCACCAAGGAAATGTAAGGAATCCATTTCCACAGATGCCTCCAGGAGTGGGGTGTGCCAGGAGGGCTGCATGCTTCCCGGTCAGCCACCACTCCAGACCCTTCTGCAAACTGCGTCTGGAGCATTATCCTTGGTTAGAGTCCAACAGCAAACGAAATGGTATACAAGAGCTTTGTACACATCCAGGCAAATCTTCCTGTTACTTGACATAGTGTGCCCCCATTCACCTGGTGAATTCCTAAAGCCACTTAAAATACAAGCCCACAGAGGACAGGCAGGCACCTTGAAAACCCTTCCAACAGACCCTGTCCTTGGTGCTACATCACCCGACCACACCACCCCTTAGTGAGGGGCTCGTGACTGTACCTCCAGGAGGGCAGCTTTCCGTCAGAATCCGCACAGTTGAAATGTGTGCAAGTTCGATCTCATGGCGGCTGTCCCCTTCCAGAAGCAGGCACCTGTCAGACAAAGGGCATGCGAGCCACATCACGTCAGGGCTCAGTGGGGCAGAGCTGCTGTGCCAAGCCACACTCTGCCTCTCACCTCTGGCTGTTGGAAAGGCGACAAACCATGGTTTCCGACTTCTCTGAGCTCCCAAAAGTTACAAGGAAAGTGGCTCCTTGGGGTAGAGAAACAAGTGTGGGAACAGGCAGCTTCTCTCACACTCCCGCCCCGCCCTAGCCGGGCCAGCTCCTGTGGGGGCGCACACGAGGGACACAGGAGACAGCTTGGCCTGGGGTCCCTCAGCTGTGGCAGAAAGGCCCTGAGCAGTACAGGCTTGTGAGGTAAAGCCAGGGGCCACTCCTGAGAGGGTCTGCAGGCCTCAAAAGCTCCTAGTGACTTCACACCCTCTGAGAGGTGTCTTGGCTCCGTCCCAAAGGCCCAGGTCAGGGGGCACCAACCCTCCACCCACATCTGGAGCACCGGGCCCCAACGGGACCAGAAGCACAGAGCCACAGGGCTCACCCCCTCTCCAGGAGGCAACCCCCGATTTGTGGAGTGGGGCTGTGCAGCAGGAGGGCCAGGCTGTAAGGAGGAGCAGAGTAGGCGGCAGGCAGGGGGGGCAGGCCCCCGTCCCACCGCCGGGCATCCCGGCTACCAGTCCCAAGCCCAGCGCTCGAGGCCAGACCCACACTGAAGGAGACTCTCGTGGCCATCACAGGGAAGGCCCAGGCCACCCGAACACCCAGGGTGGGGCTCAGCTTACCACCTAGGAGCACCCCGAGCTGCTTGTCATAGAACCCCGCCTCCTTGAGAGACACCAGGGAGCACTGGGCACACTGCCTCACTGGGTCCACGAAGCACATGCGCCGCAGCGGCACCTTCTGGCTGCAGCACTTGTCACAGAAGCACTTGCCACACCGGCGACAGTGGTGCTGCAGAGCAGGGCACGTGAGCAGGGCCAGAAGACCATGAGCACAGCCCCGCACACTGTCCAGACGGCCAGCCTCACTGGCAGAAGGGCGGACGCCACGAGGGTCCCCACAGCAGGTGCTCCTCAGTCTCCCAGCTGCTGACCGCCCACCAGGACGCCCACCTCTATGTGCTGGGAACCAAGTACCTCTTCAGAGAAGGGCACCCTGAGAGCAAAACCCCATGCTGTGAAGCACCCATGAGCCGTCCCAGGGAGCCAGGGCCCAGCACTCAGGCAGGTGGCCCAGTGGCACAGGTGCACTTCACCATCCCTCCTCGGGGCTCCACACTCCCCCCAAGTCCTGCACCCTGCCTCCCCCCACAACTCCCGCCCTGGCCTCAGCTCACCTTTCTGGTGAGAAAGTCAAACTTGGCGCTGCAGTGCATACACCTGGGGCACTAGGAGAGAAGGCGGGAAGGTGTCAGAGCCCGGCTGAGGCAGGGCTGAGGCACTGGGCCTGCGGCTCCGTGGCTCCCAGTCTGTGGGGGTGGTGCCCTCAGCCCGGGGAGGTGGTCTGAGCGTGCAGGTCTGAGTGAGCAGTGAGAGCTGGGACTGGGACCAGGAGAGAGCTGTGAAGTGAGAGATTCACAGCAAGAATCGACCCAGTCAGGAAACGAGCACACCCCACTTCATGAATGAAGGAAGCGCAGTAGGTCTGCTCAGCTGGGGACTGTTCCCAGATGACAAAGGCCTACACGGCCGAGGCACACGACTTATCCTGGCTGTTTGCATGAGTCTTCGCGCCCTCAGCCCGGCCTCTGAAGGTGTCTGCAAGAGACTGCACAGAAGGCACACCAGCTGCCAGCCAAGTGCTCCCAAATGCACCTCAGATTACAGGACTGGAGAGAAAAGGCCCCCTGGGGCTAGTCTGACGATGAGCACCCCACGCCCACTGCCCCTGGGGTGCAGGGATCAGGGTGGCTGGGCTCGGAGGGCAGAAGTCTGAGCCCAGAGTGACTGATGGCAGCAGGCCCTCACCCAGGTGCTCAGAGACAGGTCCAGTCCTGTGCAAGGACAAGGGATTGAAAACAGCCACATCAACACCAAATGAGCTCAGATCTCTTGTCTAAAAGAGCAGGAGATGCTTCAGGTCTCAGCACCATGAGGAAGGGGGGTCCCAGCCAGCCAGCAGGGCAGCCCTTGCAGCCCCTCCCAGCCCCACATTGCCCAGGCTCCACACTGGGTGTGGTGTCTACACTTCACAGGATTCCGTGACTAACATTTTCTTGTTTCCCCTCTTTGCTCATAAGCTGCTTTCTGAACTTAGACACAGAGCCTGGCCCACCCTGGCCTTCCAGAACCATCCACAGAGTCCTGCAGGCTTCAGGCACGGGCTGGCTTTCACTGCTGCCCCTGCGCCCAGTCCCTGCATCTAACAGTTCTCAAGCACAGCGTGTTTGTCCCTTGGAACTCTGCACAGTGGCAGAGTCCTGGCCTCCATGTGCAACAGCCTTCAGTGACCCCAGACATCTGCCAGCCACAGAATCCACTGGAGAAAGGCTCTGCGTGGGTGTAACTGGGGAGGCTGAGCGGATGGGAAAGCCACACTGTGACCAGGTTCCTCGAGGGCAGCTGCTCAGCCACCCCAGCCCCTGCCCAGCAAGCCTCACGAGGGGCAGTCTCACTGCAACAACGTGAAAGACCAATTTCTAAATGGAAGACCACGTCTCAAATTTAAAATTTTCTCCCTTAAAAATATAAGTGATTGAGGCGGAGCCAAGATGGTGGCGTGAGAAGGACAGTGGGAATCTCCTCCCAAAAACATATATATTTTTGAAAATACAACAAATACAACTATCTCTAAAAGAGAGACCAGAAGACACAGGACAACAGCCAGGCTACATCCACACCTGCGAGAGCCCAGCGCCTCGCGAAGGGGGTGAGATACAAGCGGCGGCCGGCGGGACCCGAGCACCCCTCCCCCCAGCTCCCAGCAGGAGGAGAGGAGTCGGAGCGGGGAGGGGGAGGG